TGATACCATTTATATAACTTACGGCAAATCCCAAACTATGTAAAATAAAGTAAAGTGATCCTACTGAGATGTGGTTGTACTCCCAAAGTGTTAAACTGTGAAAAGACATAGTCAAACTAAGTCCAAATAAACATGTATGGCCCTGGTTCATAAAGGAGGTACTGGGCTGCAGACAGCACGCTCAGTCTTTGTTGACATAGCTCATTACAGGGGAAACCGCCGGAGTAAAGCAGCTCAGTCTGGAACTAGCATAGCGCTGGAGACTGGAGAGAGAGGAGAGCCTGGGTGAGTGTGCTGTGGTCTGAGGACTTGTGCTGAGTAATGCGATCCAGGAACCCGCAGACCAATGACTATCAACATATAGTGGGGTTAGACAGGTTAGGCTTCACTTGTAGGTCGGATTTTAAAGAAGACCTATTGTGAGTGTGTCTGATATATAGTTATAATCTATACTTGTGGATCATTATATTATAATATTGACATTTTAAATCGCAATATTGATCTAAAAGGATTTAATAAAAGAAATAAGTCTGTTGAGTTTTGCGTTAGAAAAACCTGGTGCGCAATGGGAGCCATAACATCTCAGGTGACCAGATGACCCTATTTACCCAGGGCAGTCTCAGTTCTGAATGTCTCCTATCCCAGAAGACTTATACAAAACCATTTGTTTAGCTAAAATACAGAAAACCACACCTGAAAATAACATTAAGCCAACAAAAATACAGTCAGTTGCAGACAATAGTCTCTAAGATTATACACTGACCCACAAATGGGTTGAGAATGGACAATGTTGCTCTTTTCACAATTTTATTTATACCAACCACCCAAACCCAGATTTGTCCTAGTTTTTAATTTTGAAAATCTGGTCACTCTAGTAACGTCATCACATGTCTGTGGAAAGGCTGAGCTCAGTTTGACGAGTCTGCCATCATTGTGACTTGTTGACTTGGATGTTCTGGTGGTTGGCTCAGAGCAAAAGACTATATAGTAATAACCTCGTGTTACATATATAGTGCAGTAGTTAACATAGGCTATGGTCATACAAAAGCAGAGACTCCAACGGTCAGTGAGGCTTTCCAGTTCCTGCATAGCATTAGAAACATGTAATTTACTGTAACCACTGGCTGACCTTTCATGTGCATTTAACCCTCTGTGTCCATGCCTGGCCATGATTGGTCTCAAATGGATCTACAGCAGTGGTTCTCAAACTATGGTGTAAATTCATTGTCAGCAGTCCTACGTCATTACAGTCTACTGTATTGTGTTGAATGATTTGGGAAATATATTGAATTGAGATTCTTCTGACAAACATTACAACTGCGATCAGATTTGCCATTTATGTTTTCATAAGAGCATTCTGTTCAAGTTCACATTTTAAACAGCTCCAGGAAATATGAACTGACAAACTAATACAAAAATCACATTTCAGAACATGTTTGTACAGATCTAATCTACAGGGTTAGTAGTTTGTACGCAGAAAAAGACAGGATATTTTGTTTGTTGAGGAAATGACGGTACTTCAAAAATTGCTGCCTTTGCGATTTGCCAATTGCATCCACTCAAATTCCTTGGATAGATTAAAGTAACATGTTAGATGAGGTTTAGTCCTGTTTAGTGACTTGGTTTAGTTCTGGCTTAGTCAAGTTTTAGATTTGATATATTCAATCTTTGATAATACATTCTGAGGTGGATCAGAATGTGAAAAGTTCGAAAATCACTGGTCTTTATTATTACGTTTTTTCATATCAGCAGACTACATAGGTTTTGAGGATTAAAGGGGCGTGTACCCATTTCTCATCCATGTATTTGAGCAAAAACTGTCTCTGCCCAGCACAGATACATTATATAAACTAGGCTAGGGTTACCTCCAGAAATTTTTCAATCCCCTTCAAAATAAGTCTGCTACATGCTGTCTGGATCTAATTATAAAGCATTTTTATAACCCAAACCCTATCACTTCAGAAAATCAGGAAGTGCACATTTGCATGCTAGTAGATGTTGTTAGCTTTACCATCATGCCAAAACAGCACTCTGGAGAGTTGAGAAAAGTGGTTATAAACTCTTTGCAGTGAAAAATTAGAATGCTCAGAATGTATGAACATTCCAAACAAGTTATTTTTCCACGATTTTAAGACTGGTACAGCACCTTTAAATGAAGAGAGTATTCAAGACCTCACAACTGTAGAAACCCTCACTCACTCTTTTTCCACTTTGGGCAATTCAGAATAGACTCCTCACCAGTACAGGGAAGCTTCAGATACAGTAGGAGGAATAAGGAGTTCCCTCATCACCATACGCAAAACAGACTGTTACTTTCCACTGATTACACTGTTAACACCCCCTACGGCACTTTGAAGGTCTTTGGTGCTTTGGGTTGACACAATTTTTAGCCATGGATTTCAGCCAATACAAATATCCGATATTTCTCTCAGTGTTCTCTATAGGCTCATTTGGCTATATATTTTTTTTGGAGCTCACAATACCTTTTAATGATACTGTATTTAAAAATGGTTTAGTAGAATTCTCCTGCTTTAGTGTATTATGTGAGTGGCATGAAGTAGTTTCAACATTATTGTTCATTGCGACATTTCTTGGTACAGATATATAGGGCTTCAAAATCAAAATATCAGAAAACGTTTTCATACCGGGCCAATAATGATATAGAAAAACATCTTACAGATTGGCCGTTATCGATCTTAGTTAACACCAATATATTGTCCATCCATAAGATTATACTGGCTTATCTAGCTCTCTTGTTTTGAGCTTTCCCTTACTACACAACCCAAAACATGAAATCTCTTTCCAAAGAACTGCAAAATTACAGTTGGGATGATCCAAAATATCCAACAGCTTAGGTCCATTGAAGAAAACATGTACTTCTTCAGAACCAGGAAACGTGGACCGTCTGTAATTCCCACATTCCTGGAGTACGAGCGGCATTCCTTTGGCAGGCAGCAGGATACGAACTTGACTCACAACAGCCAAGCAGTGACAGCATGCTCAAGATGGGAAGCACAACACGCAAGCAGAGAGAAAGAGAGAGAGAGAGAGTAAGAGAAGGGAAGAAAGAGAAGGGAGAGAGCGAGAGAGGAGAGGAGGAGGGGAAGACCACATCACAAAACACATGTAAGACATTTGACAAAGTCCCTGGTCCAAATGATTACCACATGTGCTCAGACTAGACCCCTCCCTGTACATACGCACCCTTTAAACTCAACTCAAGCACTTTTTGGTACATTTGATTAGAACATGCTTTTCAACAGTCTGCCACTTCCACTCTTTAACATGAGAAGAGGAAGGTAGTTTATATATTGCTAAATAAAACTGAAATGTATTATTATTATTATTATATTTTTTTACTAAAGACCATTTTCAAAAAGATAAATATCTCAACCATTCTGTCAAAAAATAGCCTATCTACGGGTTTCGTAATGAAGAAAAAAGGTAATTGCCATAGAGATTAATCATTTAAAACAAAATTATAAATGGTAAAAAGTTCTGAATAAATGTTATATATTCACTGATATATTTGCCGGATGTGTTTTGTATTATTCACACATGCTTGAGAAATTTTGCATTTTTAGTTCCAGCAACCTCTCCAGATTTCAAAACGGTCAGGTCCACCTGTGATGTCACTACATGGCAATAAAGGCTAGTTGTGATCACTTTCAATGGTTTGTTTTCCTACACCAACATGCATGCCACCTTTGGGACTAACAGCTATTGTGTTTAGTCTCATTTGAACTTCTTCACTTCTCAACACCACAGCACATGGCCTTGCACAGGCCTCTGCAAAGAGTAAAATTACTAGGCTACTTGTCTACTTGTACTTGTTTACCATCTGCTTTAAAAGGTACAATATATAACTATCTGACTTGCATGATTCCATGGAAATAGAAAGTTAAAATTGCACTTTGGAACATTCTCCATGGAGACAGATGCTAACAACTTTACAGTGGAAAAAAGCAGGAGGAGGCCAGGAGTCAGGTTTGTGGAGATGCAAGCCCGCTCACAGTATGGCATTTTTCTAAGTTTTCAGTGCAATAAAAACAGAAACAGAAACAAAAATAAACCCAATAAAAACATGCTTCTTATTCTTATTTAGTCTATTTATTTGCTAAAAAAAGTAGTAGTTGTAGCTTTAAATGTGAAATATGAATACTAGGCTTTCCAAACATCACTCAAAGCGCGTTAAAAAAAAATGCAGCAGAACTTTTACACAGTGCATCTGAAACCATCAATAAAAGTAGGCTACTTACACGAACAACCCACCTTCTTTCCCCTCCTAACCACTCACTTACAAGATACAGTCAAGTCGAAACTCTCTCAGGCATTTGGCACATTTCTGAGGCTAGTCTGGGCAAATGCTCGTGACAGTTGGCTCCTCAATGATGACAGCACCCAAGGGCTAAGAACTCTCACCCAACCCATGTGCCAAGACAACAAAACTGGGTGACAATGCTCCAGCTACTATAAATGACCCAGTTGTACAAGATAAGCACGTTGTTTGAAAATTGAAAATGCGATCTTAGGGTATGTGGTAAATTGCTTTGTTTTGCGATTTCGAAACACTTTACTCCTCCAAATAACGAAAAACGCGCGGTTGTGTAATGTCTACGTCCAGAAACATGTTATAATTACTTTGCTACAATAAAAACAAAACAAAAAAACACATTTTATCTGCTCTCAAATCGACTCCAATCCCAACATCTGACTAACTGTCCCATTGGCTACTACTACAGTCAAGCGCTGCAACCAACAAAAGGCAAGACAATAGAGTTTGGACCAGCGCTGCTACGTTCTTTGCGTGTTTTGCCCGTGTTTGGGTGGCAAAATTTCAGTTTTAAATTCGTAAATCTAGGACTTTTTGAAGCCAGCGAACGTGCCAGTAGACCGTTACAACGTGCGGCTTTGTTAGTTGCTCCAGCGGCTGGGGCTCGCTTGCTTCACGGGGAAAAAGAAAAACAGTACCCGAGACGCACGCAGACGCACACACCTACCTCCTCGTAAAGTGTCCAAGTCAACTTCGTGAATTTTTAAAGCGAGCAAAGCGGTGCGGTCCACGCATGGGTGTACGGTTGCTCCCCGGGTTGAGGTTGAGGTGGGACGGCTCGGAGGAGTGTTGACTACAGCCAGCGGCAGCGGGCAGGAGGATACACTACTAGTCGGGACCCATAGAAAATGTAAATGATCAAGAGAGCGGGGAGGGGAGGGCATCCGTGACGCCATGACAGGGGCTCCTCCCCGGCTTCACGGGAGAGGGGAGTCCTCGAGAGCAGGGCGGGGCCATGGAGGAGAGGATACATGTGCCAACCAACAAAAATACGCACGAAATGTTTTAGTATTTACAGTAATATTAAGGCGCCAGATGTTTTTTGTTTGTGATATTTGGTCTTCATTTTTCGACATATCATGACTCACTGATGATTATTCACAACTTTGCAGTTTCTGAACACGTGGTATAACATGACTAAATATGACCTAAGCCAGTGCGTAATGTGTGCGTAAATTATTTAGCGGAATTTATTAAATATGGGGTATAATGTAAATCGTTTTGTTTTTGTTTCTTTCTACCGTGTTATAAAGTTGTTCACTCATCAAAAACATTCCTGAAGAGGTTTTAGATGTCATCCATGCTTTAGTAATTTTGCATCTCTCCCAGGCCCCATTTGAACACTCCTTAGCTGTAAGATTCTGACCATTAGCCTACTCAGGTCACAAGTCTACATCATCTATGCTTCTACACAGCAGTTATTCATGAGTATGCAAAATCTTGATACAAAGCTAGACACACACAACAACTTGATAAACCTGATGCGATGTGCAGTAGTTTCACTGGTTACACTGATTATGTTGAGATAATGCTCTGAAAGGTAACATGGTGATTTAAATATGTTTTCTGTTAGCAGCAAATACCCCATAGAAGTAAATATGCCCTCTTTAATTTCCTATTTTTAAGAAGTGGGTAGAGAAGTCAAAAACTGTACTCAAGTAATAAGCTGTTCTGTGGCTTTTAAATAATTGCTCAAGTAGAAGTAAAACATTTCAGCCCAGGAAATTAGTCAAGCATTGTATAATTTGAAGTTAACGTAATTTGAAGGACAAAACTATAAATAGGCTTAATGGACAAAAAGGGACAGACCACAAAAATGTGATCTGAAGGAGTGGTGCAAAAAGTGTACATGTAACTGAGCACAACCCATCTCTGGTATTACACTGCTAAACACATGGAACACTGGACTTGACCCTGTCCCTGCCTATGGGGCCACGCGGGTCAGCTGTGGGTCTGCTGATTGGGTTACAGCCTGTGGACAGTGCAGGTACATCCAGGATCAGACTGACCAGACAGGAGGTTCTGAAAAGGGACAGTCCCAGACCAGATCAGTGGAACATATGTTTCACCCACTCCCAGTCTACAAATCAACCATCTGACCACCCTTTACTGGGGACTCCTGCAGGCATCAGGCTTAGCGTCACCTTCAATTGTCTGTGTTAGTAGTCACTTTTGAAACAGTTTTGGTCATACTATTGTGCTGTGTTCAGGTGTGACCAAGCTATGTGGAGATGTACCAAATGATGGGTAGAAGCCTCCATGTATGTCCTCATGTGTTTTGAGCAAAGAGCATAAATTACCTGAAATGTTTTCACCTTTCAGTATTAGGCCTTCCAAGTGCCAGCAGTGCTACAATACAATAAGATCTGGGGCGAGATGAGCCTACTCTGGGATATTTGCTTGGAGAAAAAATTAAAAGCAAATTGATGGATGACATTTATTTATTTGTTTCAAGTCTTGTTATAATCTTTATGTTAATCAAAGGTGCTGTATCTGATAAAAACAAACAAACAACAGAACTAGTCCATTTTAAATAGTTTGCAGTGGGCCAAAGTTATTCTCTATGAGTTTATAAGCGTGTTTCACAACTTTCAGAGACTATTATGCTGTGACAGTAATGGCAACAACAGGATGCTAAAGCACACATCCTGATCATGGGACAATAAAATGCAATAAATGCCAATAAATGCCAGCACATAGACAGCAGACTATTCTGACCTCAAGATAGAAGATACAGTATATTTGTGTTTATACGAGACATTTTGGTCAAATACAAAGGGAAAAAAATAGGATACCTTTAAATGTGATATAGATGTATATTTAGATACTTTCCGTTGTAGTTTTTGTATACTATTGGTTTATATACATGTAAGTTTCCACATCTAAACCTCACCATTCTGCCAATATTATTAAGATAAAGTATGCCTCTCACCCGTCAGACCCACGGCACATCTCATAAGTACATTGGTTCTTATCTTTCCAAGTTTGATTGTATGTTCTTAGACAGTGCTGATAGTCCTGACCATGATAAAGTGTAATCTGCTTATGCCCTGGTCAGATGAGGGGACAGTGGATCTCCTTATACCCATCACCCCCCTCTCTCCTTCTGCTCTTGCCCCAGTCAAAGCCCCCCTTATCCCATGCACTCAGCTGACACGGGCCTGGCTTATTTGTGTGGGGGGATACCATAATCTTCCACAGTACTGTTCATGAGTGTCAACCTAGGATATGGTTCTCTGCTGTCATTGCAATTACAGTATGGATATTTTGCAACTGATAACATCAACATTCTTTGAGGGTGTGATGCTAACTGTTGGCACTGCTCTGTCTGAACTTTATTCTGATCTTTATTTGATCAAAAGCTGACCATAAAGAGCTGACTTAGTTGGATCTACAATATGTGAGCTGATTTGTGCTGTTAAACAAGTCCCCCTAAAATAGTGTTACAGTCACAAGCTAGCACAGGCTTCTAAAAACGTGTTGATTAAATTCATTTGTATTTTTTCTTTAGTTTTCAGTTTATCTTCTTTTCTTGAGTTTTCAGTTGATCTTTTATTAAACTTTTTTGGCTGTTTGCAAATGTTTTGATAATGTGCCTCCATGGTAACTGCTGAACATTCCTCCATAGACATACATGCAGAACACCCCCAGTGCAATGCCACCGTAATGCAGTGGCTAACAGGTTAACTATGTCCATTTATAAATATAGAGTCTATGGTTTAGTCTCAGCTTTGTCCCACTTTTGATGTGGAGTGTGTTGAGGTATGAAGGCAAATCTTACTTTTTGCATAATACTTATTTCCATATTGTACTTTTTTCATCCTCCAAGCGTTTCCAAGTTACCGCACATCTCCTCCCCTGACTAACTGTAAATGATCTTAAAACTCAATGTCGAGATGTCCCTGTGTGGGAGGACAGGGGTGGAGGGTCCAGTATCCCCCTTTGTGACTCATATCCTAAAGGGTTAAACAATAGCGCATGAGTCACTTTGACTGACAGCACAGGCCCCACCCCTTTCTCAGATCTAAGCCCCACCCCCTCTCTCAAACAGGAAACACATGTGGACTGACGTGCAAGAGGTTTGATTCATGACAGCTGTTCTATGGGCACTTTCACTCCATATTGTAAACAAGATAATGTTCCCGCTTCCATGGCAACTATAGCTAAACTAATGTGACTTCGTGCTCTGCGGTTGAGTTGCAGAATGGGACAGGGAAGTTTGCACTATGTGGGGTCTAAGAACTTCTGTAAAATTATGGGATATACCAATATCCAGAGGAAGTTGCAGCCTGATATGAGGAACATTGTAAATTATTTTTTGGAAATATCAGCATTTACAAGTTTAAATTGGTCATTTAAGACTTCTCTGCATTATTCAAAATGGTTTAAAGTAGCACTAGGTACCTTTCCAGTGAATAGTTTGCCTGACTCTCCTCTTCTTTTTATTGCTTTCTCAGAACCAACAGAATAAATGCAAGATAAATGCTATTGTGATACTGGAAGGAGAGCAGACCCAGAAAAACGTTTTTTCTTATGTTCCTATTGTAATTTTGACAGTGGTTATGGAGGGTGGATTCACACAGCGAAGGCCTCTTCCTGTGTGTGTCTGGGGGTTTCCTCAAGAAATGTCACTGCTTGGAAGTGAAAAAACTGTAACTGTAACTGAATAAATGCAAATTTGTTGTCTGCCATATACATTATTTATTATGTGGTAGACCAATGGGTCTTTTTTTAAACAACTCATTAAAATATCAAATAGTGTCAGTCTGAAGCATACAAACCAAATCTTGTCCATAATATTTGATATATATATGTGTGTGTGTGTGTGCGTGTGTGTGTGTGTGTGTGATATAAAATTACCCTAGTGTAATTTTTAAAGCATTTTTCAATAGTTTTTTTTTTTCATACTGTTGCTATACTACAATATGTGTCAAAAATACTACATTTGGGTAACTGTATGTAGCTACTCTGTCATTTAGTGGTATTCAAAATACAGTTACTTTCCTTAAACCAAAGGAATACATTGTGGCCCCTTCATGACCCCTCACAGAAAGAAGATCTTGGGTTCGACCCAGAGTTTGCATGTTCTCCCCGTGTCTGGTTTTGGGTTTTCTCAGGGCTCTCCATTTTCCCCCATCAACCCAAAACATGCACAATTGATACTTGACATCATGCTGGAGGTGTTCTACATTTAGCCTTCTCTATAATGGAGTGTTCAGCAGTTACCATGGAGACACAATGCAAACATTAATAAACACTCTCAAAAAAGTTTTACAATGCTAGTTATCTTAGCACCATAATGTTATTTGAGAGGGACAGCACATATCATCTCAGCTGTTGTAGTTCCAACTAATCAGCTCTTTATGGACAGATTGTTAAAATAAAGATCAGGTTAATGACTAACTTGAATAACAGAGCTTCGGACAGAGTAGTGTCTACAGTTAGCATCATGCCCCCTGGGAATGTTAATGACATCGGCTGCAAAGTATTAATAGATGAAATCCTCCCTCTTACCAAACCTAGCAACAAGATCTGGAGGTAGGTCCCAGGTGTGGTACTGCGGCACCCACTGCTCTTGACAGCTTGACCCCAGTGGCATTGAAGGATGGGTCGAATACAGAGGATGAATTTCCCTACATCGGCAATAAAGTGTAGCTTCACTCACCCCCTGTCACCCCTACCCCCCTCTGACCTTCCAGCCCCCCACCCCACTGCTGACATGTGATATGTGAAAGCTCATTTTTGGACAGATGTTTCCAGTCTGAGCTGTGTTTGTGCACATGTGTAAGCTAGGGCCATGATGTTAGCGCTTGTGTTTGTCTTGGCCCCCTGGAGCCCCCTCAGAGGCTCCCCACT